TGTCATTATATTTATCTCTAAAGTCAGTGATTTAGCACTAAACACAAAAATTAACTTCAGCACTAATACTGAGGCAGAACTGGCAAAGATAAGCTTCACCAGATATTAAAGGTACATCTGCAATGTCTTTTATATGATACAGATAAAGTGCATTTAAATTATTAAGTTAATGTATACTAGAGATGACTAACACAGGTAAGAAACTTTTAAGCCAGTTATCCTTCATCATAAATGAGTCATTTTGACAAACAAATTGTTTTCCATTCCTTAAGTCATTTAACAGTATGTTATTTTAAGATACATACTTGGCAAAATATGTGTTTTAAACATAGCAACTATAACATGGAACAGAAATAATCATACCAGTAATTTTAAATTATATCTAGAAATAAAGTGAGATACTTACAAGTTTAATGCTCCTGAATGTAAACTTGATTTCAATTTTTAAATCTACATTATCTTTTGTGGTTTCTTTTACATAGAAACTCTACTTTCATTTATTTTTATTTTTATTTTTTGTATTTTTAGGGAAGGGTCTACAGGGTGTTCAGGGTCTCACTACTACATCAGACTCCTAGCAATCTGCCTGTTTACAGCCTCCCAAGGACTACAGGTGCACGCCACCATGCCCAGTCTCAGTTGCCTTCTTAGCGCACCCTGGGGGTAGGGCTGGCACAGCAGGCCCAGGGATCAAACCCCCAGCCCCTGTGCCTGCCTGCAGGTGCTTTAATCCAGTGAGCTATTTGGCTGGCCCTAGAAACTCTAATTTTAAATGTTAAAGAAAAGCTACGCATGTTATGAACTTATTTATTTTATTTACTTTTTTTGCAGTACCAGGATTGAACTCAGGACCTTGCGCTTGCCAGGGAAGCACTTATTCTACTGAGCCATCTCCCTGGCCTTGAATTTATTTCACAATTTAACATTACAGTTTTATCATAATTTAGAAGTTAATTACAAAGTTATTTAATAATGCATTAATATCATTCTCTATTTATGTATCTTTCTGTTTAGAAAGTATGTTTTTTTAACAGTTTTACCAAATTCTCACATCAAATCTGAGAAAATCTGGGGCTCAGAAAGAACTTGTTACATCGCTTAAGTGGCAGACCTGAACTCAAGTCAAACTACGAGGGTGATACCTTGGTTATTGAACTCAATTCATTCCAAATTCATATTCAAACATCAAAAACTTTGAGAAGAGAACATCATTTTCACATAAGAAAAAAAAAATAGAAATCCAAATAATTGGCTGAGGCTCAAAATTATAAATTCATTTTTCAGGATGCAAACAAAATTTACAATTTCTTTACTTCTATCATGGTTCTCAGTTTTCCTCGCTGCTATCACTTTCTTTGGAACCATGGTCAAGATCTTTTATAGAAAGTACACAAAAGAAGAAAGTAAGGTTGAATGCACTAACATAAGCACTATCTGTTGTCTGGGCAAGAGAAGTACTTAAACTAAAGCATCATCTACCTGATTCCTTGGTGAGACACATGACTCACTCTGTCTGAGTTTTTGCAGTCAAATTTTCCACTTGACTATCGAGTAAAATTACAAACACCAAGTAGATTTTTTTTCGAGCTTTGCTACTTGATCAGTAGAGAGTTCTAGCTTGGAGCCATATGACAACTGAGGTACAACTGTATCTTGGTTTAAATTATGGCATCTAATAATATCACTGAGCCAATGACTAAATGAGTATGTGAATATAATTCTAAATCAATAGGAAGTTTATGTTAATGTTCTTAAGATTTTTACTATAATTTGTAATTTTACCCCATTTCATAATTTAGGAAATATGTTCTCTACTGAAAATATACAGAATTACCAAATCATTCCTTCAAATTCAACAAATTCTCAATGAAATAAACTAATGTAATTCTAAACAAGTCATATTCTTGCTTATAATTTATACCAGTATACAATTTCTAAAAAAAACTAGGGTTTTTACCTAGACTTACCCTTCAAAATTGACTTGAATGTCACCTGCTCTGAGCTGAATCCCTTACAGATGTACGGTGCCGCTGCAAAATGTTCTAAAATTCTGTTCATTCTTCTGTCTTACATATAGTTAATGTTTACATATAAACAGCTTTGTCTTATATAATCCATTCTCTATATTACCCACTGTACTTCAGGACCATATCATTAATCTTTAGCATGCCTATACTCAATATATTTTAGGTAATCAATAAATAAATCACTCAGCTAAGGATTATGGAATTTCAAAATCAGAACAGAGTCCTAGAAAGATCACAGTTACCATACTGCAATAGGGGTGTCTTTAACACATTACACAATTTTGAAAAAGTAGATAACACTGTCAACAAATGTAAATTTCATATAAATATCTATAACTAAACTTTCCAAATTGCTGTTTTGTTCCCTTCACTACTGTAACATTAAATGCACTGGAAATAGAAATAAGTAAAACAAAGCAAAGCAAAGCAAAACAAAACAAAACAAAATCAGCCTTCTAAAAATGGAAAGTCAAATATGAAAATGATAGGTGGGGCAAAAATGTGTTAAGACAGCTGGATAATATGGCTACCTCCTACAAAAACAACTTTCATCTTATTTTGGCACTTCCATTTCACCTTCATGCTCCCAATATACAATTAGAATATGAAGAAAAAGGTAAATTACAGGGAGAATATATTTAATAAAATGTATTCAAAAACCCTTATGACATGATGTTCAAACAATTAAGATGAGTTTTGAGAAAACCCTTCTCTCATATTAAAATAAGTATCTGAAAGGTATATATTTTCATGAACATAAGGCTGAATTTGTTTACTGAAGATTTGACAGGCTAGCAGAAGCATGAAGTACCTTAAAATTTTAGTAGAAATTCCAAGGAAAACATTCACTGTATGTGTACATGTGAAGAAACGAGTCAGTGACATTTTTAATTGCTTTTCTTATTATTTTGGAATGTAGAACAGAAATAAGTTCAAAGAAATATAAGCCATGATATTGAAACTAGACATTTCCAAATTTTAACTGTAGTATAATCAGTTTAATTACCTGTGTTAATCTCCTCTGCAATTTCTAAATGTTCTACTTCAATCGCCAGATCTAACATCTCTCTAAAATGGTCTCTGATTTCTTCAGCTGACTCATCACCAAATTTATAACCACACAGCATGACAGTGGATCCAGGAATGGGGACAAAAACTCGGTGAGGGAGGATGTGGAACTCTTTTGCAGAATCTAAAACCAGAATGAACATTATTCCATTATTATTGATATCAGTAAATATACATTTTAGTATACAAAAACATCTAATAGAAATAAAAAATGGAAATGTTTTTTCATCTCCTAATAGAGAAGGCAAAAATACTGCTCTTATCGCATTCAACTTTGGACCTCTCCAAGGGACTTAGATGATACGCTTATTAAACTCACAAACCTATCAATGTAAAAATTTTGTTCAATATAAAAATTTTGATTATACATTACTGTATGAGCCCCTGTCCTACAACAGTACATGCAAGAGAGAATTTCATCAATGGTCTGTAAATTGTTCATTTCAATCTTATAAACTTTGTGAATTTTACAGCTGACATTTCCCTTATTCCTGTGCACTTGAGCCAAACACTGGGCCTACTTACTGTCAGTGTATTCCACGTAACCGCATACATCGTTTTTGTATCATGCTACAAAATGATACTATTCACTTCATTTTAAAATGCTACTATTCACTTCATTTTACTAGATACAGCCCCTTCCAGTATCAAGTAAATCCAGGATATCAAGATGTACATTTTTCTGTACCAACCTCGAAAGAGATAATTATATCATCTTTCCTTTCCATACTCTGTTTGCCTCAATGCTATTTCTGTCTCATTTACTTGTATAGTAATGTCTCTTTATAAACAGCCTTCAGTAATTTTTAGAAAAAAATCTGAATCTAAATGAATGTTTCATTTTTCTCTGGATACTTACAAATTAAAATATATTTCCCCAGATTATGACATAAAATCACTGGATACATCTAGGATTCTAAAGAATTGCTATAAAACTAGAAATTTTGGGAAAAGAATGACCTTTGTAAACAACACATGATTAAAAAGCTAATAATTAAGATCAGGTAGAAATCTGCTCACTTTACAAGTAACTTATATTTTCTCTACTGATAAACTGGTGGTAATTTTATATAATTAAAAACAGATGATGACAAGCCAAATCTTAAATGTCATGGGAAATGCCACAGTTTAAACTATGTGTTCCTTCCAGATACTGTGCATTAACTTGTTTGCTTGAAAACTAGGAGAATAAGTAGTCTTTGACCTGATTGCCTCCTAGCTGTACGATAACATTATTGCAACCTGTATTGAAGCGTATAAACACTACACATTGAAACTGGGATTATATTATTTCATTTTGAGGCACAGATAATCAAATTAAGTTTAAAAAAATTCTAGATGACTACACTGTGCACAGGTAATTGGCCTCAACATTTTGAAACCACATCAAACCATACTGATTCTAATTTTGCCTGGAAAAATAAGTCATGCTTAAAATCTAATGCTAAAAATCACTTGGAATAAATTTAAATTACTCATTAAAAATATAAAACACAACTTTCAAACTAAAAAGTTAGAGTACCAACTTCATATCTCAATAAGATCAAGTTTTTCAGTTGGCTTGAGTTTAAAAACTGGAGATATCTTTTTGAAAAAACTCATCTCAAATAGTTTTCCAAAGAAACTCTTAGGAATCTCTCCCACAGAAAAGTATTCAGTTCAATATTATGTGAATAAGCACAAGCAGAGAAAGACATTTTCAGTATAAGCTAATTTTTGTAACAACTGGATTTCAGCTGGTTAAAAACAGGATCCTACCATATATCACAGTATTATAAAAACATTTGTAGAGTACATGCTACCTGAGTTAATTCTTAAAAAGATAAGCAGACAAGTCCTATCTAGACAGCAGAATCATGGGCACAACACAGAGCATAACATTATGTTCTGGGATAACAAGTACATAAATGAATACTGAAGTAGGGATGGAAGAAGGAAAGAGATCTGATAATAATCTTAATTTTTGCAGAGTCAGTTGGGGAAGACTGAATGAAGAATTATAGCAAATAATGAATGGCTGACATATTGTAAGGAGAATTAGAAGAGACCACAATGAGTAAAAAGATTGATGGGCATTCTTATATTGTTTTACTATCACTAAAATATTAAGTTCTTTCATATGAACAGCCTGAACTCAAAGATTTTTTTTTTTACTCTAAAGATTTGGAATGTGAAGTTAGTATGACCTTTGAAGATGCATGCAGTAATATTCTAAATCTGGCTAATATCTAGGCAGACACTCTACAGTTTATCATATTGCAGTATCTATAAGACCTTACCATATAAGAAAGATAAGCTAAGTAACTTGAGGTGACTTCACTTTGATCTCATTTCTGTTATCATTACTACCATGTAGGGGGATCAGACTCACAGCCTCACACATGGCAGACTAGCAATCTACCACTGAGCCAGAAAGCCAACTAGCAGCTGCCATTATGTGAGGTAGCACAGATCAACACAAAGTTGATGGTAACCAGACATAGGCACATACAGATACAATGCCCCTAAACTTCTAAAACTATGAGGTAAATAAATCTCTTTACAAGAAGCCTGTTTCGTTACAATGACAAAAAAGGCTCACACTGAACATAATAGTTTCAAAGTCTTTGATCTTTCTATCAAACCATACATTTCATTGTTACATAGTTCCCAAGGCCACTCAATTATTGAAAACTTCTTCCTTTTTAACAAATCTTGCATTAGATTATTTGTTTCTAAATATATCAAGTTGGGTGCATGAATACTCTAGTACAACAGCTACTAGAAGCTACTGAGTTTGCTAATTAGACATCTGAAAAAATTTCAAAATAATAATTTAATGTAAAATAATTCTGCAGTGGTCACATAGCACTATCTTTATAAAGGATTTTTGGCAGAACTGGAGATTGAACTCAGGCCTTTGCGCTTGCCAGACAAGCGCTTATTCTACTGAGCTATGTCCCCAGGCCCTATAAAGGATTTTTAAATGAAAAAGTACACTGATGCATGTAACAAGGGAGATCATTAGCAATGATAGTGAATACATTGCTCGTGAAAATTATAAAATTGATAACTGAGCTACAACAAAGAATATTGCTTTAAAAAAAGGAAGTAGGGCTGGACAGATAGGTCAGCAGCATAAGTACCTGCCTGGCAAGTACAAAATCCTGGGTTAAATCCACTACCACAGGAAAAAAAAACAGAAAAAGAAAAAGGAAGTAATGATTAATACCACATGAGTTACCACATAATAGAATAGCAAAAATAAAACTTCTTTGAGGAAAGGCTGCTAGGGCAAGCTATGAGAAGAAATTCTACATATTTCCCTCCCCCGCAAGTTTCAAACCAATAGCTATAAGATTCAATCTGTATATATAATAAATAAAATTTCATATTTTTTTGAGAATTATTACTCTGGCAATTCCAGGATTCCTAGAATTTACTAGGAATGTAAAAAAGGTTATATAGCTGAGAAGAACATATAACTTACATAGTATGTAAGTACTATTAAACAATCTATTTGATAATACTCATCCATAATAAATTAACACTGATTATATCTACTTTAAAAAAAAAA